TCCATAGCAGGTCTCGTCACAACCCCGCCGCTGTCGACTCAGGTTCCTTCACCAACGACAAGTTTAACTGCCACCACTCAACACTAATAGCTGTCGCCGCCGATCCTATCTTGATTTTTGTAATCTTCTTTCATGTTCATGATCAAATTATCTGTGCTCATGTATAAAATCTCTACTTTCTCCTTGAACCCCTTCATCCTTTCAACCATATTTGCTTTCTCCACCTCAATTTCTTCCATCTTTTCAACCAGCGAAGTCTTCACTGTTGGTTTCATTGCCATTGATCAAGCTCTGAAAGAAATGTGACAGACCTCTTGTTTGCATGCTAACTAGAAGTCAGCAGAAAGTGGCAATAACTTCAAACTTGGCTTGAACTCTAGAACAAAGTTCATGGAGGCTCGAGCATTAACTCCGCTACTTTGTGGCTGGCAGATCAATCTCCTACACTTTCCCATTGTAGTGCGAACCAATGAGAGTTACAATGGAGTTAAGGAGAAGTTTAGCTTAAAAAGCCATCCAGAATATCTTGTATCAACTTTTTTGTGAAAGAATAGTGTAATTCATTAAGTTATTCATCTCTAATTGTTTTTAGATTCTTCCATTCAATATATAACATATGATTATGTGATCTTTAGATAGGGAAGCTCAAAAGTTGAATTCAGCCAAAAGATATTACCATCAATATTGGAAAAGATGCAACGTTAAGCTCACCATTTATTTCATAGATTACTTCTTCCCACTTATCTTTTTTTCAAAATATTTGCCAACCAAATATTTTACTTTCATCTCCTCCTTCAACACTTCTTCACGATATAATGACATCACACCACCAAGCTTCTTTTGAAACATCTTCGAGATCACCCTAGTGTATATATTTCCAACTTGCTCTTCAATCAGATTTGAGAAGCTCATCGTATGCAACAATATTTAAAGTCATGAAGTCTTCATGAGATTTCGATGCACGATGAGATGCCACTGCTTTGTCATATTGACTCACGAACTCAACTAGTCTAGTGTTTGCATTGACAGCCATCACAAAAAGCATTGATGCTCTCACTCCTTTGGCTTGTTGTCATTCCTGTCCAAAAATAATCCTTCAAGTACGCATCCACCCAATGTTCACACAAGCTATGCATTCTTGTTAGCTAACTATCTTCATCTTCATCTATGTTGAATTTAAC